TTAAGATTTCTTAGTATTCCTTTACATTTTTGGTCTAGTTAGCTGCCACTAACAAGAATTATACATTAAATTATAATTTTTATATTATATATTTTGTTTATTTAATTATTATTATATTTATAAAAATTGGTTGCCAAGCAACTAAAATTAAACTTAAAATAAATTATATAATTTTATAATAATAAAGTTTTAAATAAATTTTTAATACTTCTCTGAAAAATCTCTTTAAGAATTGACTTACTGTGTGAGCGGCAGAATCAAAATCAATTTTTTAGTTTTTTCAGTTTTCTTAATTTCTTTAACTTGAATTTATATATATATATATATATATATACAAAGCTAAGGTAAATACTGACTGGTTGCAAGAGTGAAGCGAACGAGCTTACTTCATAAATTATATGCATTTTTTAATGATGTTAAATGGCACTTTGGCTTTAGTTTATTGTGATGTATATAGTTGAGCTAAGTTAAACATTGATTGCTTGGAGCGATATAATATTGAGATTGATAATATAATATTGAAAATAATACGTTTTTTTAACAAAATCCATTAATTGCATGAAAAATGGTTGAAAGTCATAGTTAACGATTTAGAATATATTAATTTAAATAAAATTTATCCTTTCTTAGAAAAAAAAATGTTTTGTCTTACAAATAAATTTAAAAAACTAAGTATACATCCAATATTTTTATTATTATTTGAATTATGTATTTAAACTTCTTGGGAATATTGTCATGGTTTCTTTTTTCGCTCTAATTTCTTACGTTGGTAACTTGAAAATAGCTAAAACATATCGATTTCTTGCCCAATATCAATTTCTTGTAAAATAAAAAGGAAGGAAACTCACGGTATCATTTTTAAACTAATTGAGTGACCTTATACCTTTGCTCTTATCTGTTTATTTAGGACCAAAGAAGCATGAGGGTGTGAAGATTATAAGCAAATAATAAATTACCTTTTTTCTAATCAATATACAAGTTTATAAGTATTTCTCTTTCTCTCTTGTTTTCCTCTTAATAAGGTTTCCTTTATTCTTTTTTTTTCTTGTTAGTCCAAAAATTAGATTGTTTTGAAAAATATATGATTCGTAGGAGTTATAAAAAAAATTCAAATGCAATATTAACAAGTGTCCAAACTAAAAACTCCATTTGATTTAAAGGTTTCTAACCAACAGATGATATATGTACTGATTTTTAGTAATTGTTAATAATAAATAAATGAGAAGACGTGTGGATTTGAATAAAGTACATGAATTATAGTACTAATGGATCTGTTGAAGAAAACAATATGTTCTTAATCGAAAGTTTAACATTATTTTATTTTAATGAAGAGTAGAATGTTTTGTATAGTGATGTTTCAGATTTTTATTGTGATCGAAAGTTATCACCCGATTATTAAATATTTTTATAATTCATATAGGTTTTATATATTATCACATAATCATATCATGCAATCATAATCACAATATCATATATATCACACATCATATAATCAGATGTATTAGCATACATCATAATCATATAACTTATTTTTAAAAAACTTTTAAATGTAAGGTCAGCCAAAAATTTAATTAATTACAAATAAAAAAATTTTGTTGTTGCTATTCACTACTGTTTGAAAAAACCTCTCTATTAACATAATAATTTCTATTAGGAAAATAGTTTCATTCATCATAATTAACTTTAAATATCAATTTTAATATAAAAAGAATTGACTTAAATATGATATATTATTTTTCTGCATTGATTAAACTAACAAAACTGCTTATATAGTATAACATTGCGTTTTTTGTAAATAATTACAAATAATTCTTACATATATACTGAACTGTTGATAGAATCATAAGATTTATTGCAGGTACTTCATCATACAGTTGTTCCATTAGTTTAATGGTTCTATATAAAATAAATCTAAACCTTAGGAGATTGGCTGTTACTGTAGCTTCAAAAGGTGAAATTGTTAATCATATACCTATCTAAGTGAATTTATGAACTTGAACTATTGTAACATTTTTTTAATACAATTAGAGTATTTAGGCTAAGTGTGTCAATGCGGCATCATTGTTTATTGATTTTGATACGCCTTCAGGCCAAAAATTTTTCTAGCAAATGTTAGTAATCTAATGTACAGTTGATTTATGATTTCGTTCTAATATAAAGACAGCAAGTTAATTTGTTAATAAAACTTTCGCAGCAAATTAACAAAATCCAGAAAAATGTGCGAACATAAAAGTCAAGTACGGCTTTGGGTCACTTGATTAAGGTGCTCTGACTCTGAGCTTCAAATTTGACAGAGCACGAATTCATTTTCTGGTACTTGCAGTCTCAAAAAATTATTTACAAATAATTATATATAAAAAATAAGTCCAAAACCACTATTGATGGGTATTTGGTAATCTCGAAACAGTTGTATGGTCAGTCAAAAATTCAATTAATTAAAATAATGAATAATGAATTTTTGTTGTTGTAGTTCACTACTGTGCGAAAAAAACCTCGTAATGTAAAATATATATGTATAAATGTAATTTTTTTATGTAAAAATTTCAGGAAATCGCACAATTATACAATTCCCACTCTTTCTGGCTTCATTACTAATATTATAAATCACTGAAATTAAAATAAATAAACATTAAGTAAATACGAGTACATTTTTACTTATAAGGGACTATCAATCCTCTCATAAAATTATTGAGGTATTACAAAATATATCTGGAAAAACTGAACATACCTTAATTACTTTAGATAACTCTTATATGAGAATTTTATAAAATATTAACTTATCATGAAGTAATAAAATTTAATTTACTTGAAAATTTCTCAATTGTTTCTCATTTAAATTTCGTATTTATTTTTGTGAGCAGCTCCCCCTTGAGAGATTTTTGGAACACATACGTTAGATGTATATGCACCACTTGGCACATATTTTTCTAATTGAATTATAGGAATCGTCAGACACTTCAATTCAATTCATTGCTATGTCAAGGAATAATAAATATTCTGCAAAATCAATTGTATTTTCAAGACTGATTAAATGAATGCGGTTTCAATAGAGATTTTAGGAATCTCGAATTCAATTCAAAATGTTTTAGGATTTAGGATTTTAGGATGGATACAAATAGAAACAGAAAAAAAACAAATAAATCAAATTGAAGTATGAAAATGTGTAATAAATTTGAGTGGAAAGTTGATTTTTAGAAGTGAATTTTGATAAAAGAAACGGAAGCAGTTCCTAAAATTTAATATCAAAAATTCACACCATCATCGCATAAAAATAGTAACTGAAAACATGAGCACTAGCAACACAAATAAAAACAACAACAAATTGTGTTGCCATAAACAATAATATTTCTACTACATTTTTTTTCTTCATTTTCGGAGTGAATTAAATGCAAACATGACAGCATAACCACAGCAACGCATCGCAAATCTTCTGCGGCCGCCGGAAGTGGAAGATTTATTTCCGTTCTATTATTTCGTTCGGTTATTTGTTTGGTGTCTTCATTGGTTGCTTGGCTGATTGCTTTCAGCATTCAAATGTGCTAACAATTATTTATCAAAAACGGCAACATTTACCGCTTTCCAATAGAGAATAAATTAATAAAAAACATCCAGCAATACATCGTTCTGGTGATGTATGTATTAATAGATTTTCATAATATCTTTCATATTATATATAAGTATTGTCATAATAACCGTTATAACAATACAGTGATATATATTTTAAAAAGCAACAAAGAGAAACAATTTTAACATTATTTTCTAAGTCAGTTAAGTCAGATATTGAAAATATTTCAAATCTATAAAAATTGAGCTTATTAATTTGTATTTATTTGTATATTTAAATAATAAATAAAATAAATATTATTTTAATGACCCTGGGGATGACTATATAGTCATAATATTGATATTATATTATACAAATTTCTACTATATTAATATTTTGGTAAAAAAAAAATATTTTTAAAACAATTTTTAAAGAAATTATGTATTATTTAACAATAACCATTTAGTCTATACAAAAATATATAAATATAAAATTATATTTGAAGTAAAGTGCTAGATAACTGTACTAAATATAAATTTCGAAATAATTATTTCAAAAAAATTCTGTAGTAAACACCCCCCTTATAAACATTTTAATACCAAAAAGAGAACAATATATGTTAAAAATAAAATAATATTGTCACTTTATTAACCATATATGATTATATATGGACCGAGTTAAGTGGTCCATTGGATCAGTAAAATTTTTGAAAATTTTTTGCAATAAATATGGCCGTATCTGTCAATGATGGCATTGAGTTGCTGGTTTGTCAACATAAACCAATAAATTAACATAGCCCTATAGAAAGTAATCTAGAGTCATTAAATCTTGCCTGGTAACGAACGAGACGGTTAGTTAACAGAACCACTTCTTGAAATAAAGTTGTTATCAAATTGTTTTCGATTGTTAAGTCTGCTATATGACAAATTGCGGTCTTTTTCGAACCAAATGTGTTAGATGTTTAACTTATTATTTTTTAAAAACAATAATTTAGTCAGCATAGTTCGATAGTCCTCGCTGTTCACCGTAACGGCACTTCCTTTATTTTTTAGATATTCTAAATAAATCTAATACTCTTTAAACAGATCAGAAAAAGTTCTAATTGTTATTATACCATAAATAATAGAGAATATCCTTGAATCCTATGAAACTTAATCTTAATTAGTTATTATACAAAATTAATTAAAAATTATTTTTAAAATATTGTAGTTAATAGAATCTTTTAAAAAATCAAAACTCTTTATTAATCTTTATTGATATGCGAATATTAATCTCTATAGTTCACATCTTTGAAATTCTTTTAATCTCTAATTTATATGAGCGAAATTCAATGCTTTTTAAAATTATTAACATTTTTAATCAGAAAAAGTATATGATATTTTTAAAAGTAATAAAATAAAACTTTTCAGTCTCTTAGACTTCAAGAAAATATTAATTTTGAATTAATAAATTGCAGATATACATCAAAAAACTTCTCTAAGGATGGTTCACCAAGACCTGAAAGTACTCGGTGAGTAAATGATTTTAACTTTTTGATGGCAATTTGTAATGAAAAATTAATTTATTTGAATTTAAAAATAACATTTACAAATATCATATACTCCATGAAATTTTTTTAAGTTTTTAAATATAAATCTAAATTTCTATCAATATCTTTAAACCATTTGTATAAGGTATAAGTTTGTAGTTAATAACTCTACTTTTTTAGAGCAAGAATAGCAAATTTTCCTTATTAATTTTAAATTTTAAGCGGACTTATTAAACTTACTGTATGATAGAAAGCAACTTTACAGGTTAATTAATTTACTAACTTAGTAATGTTATTTTTTGCAGACATGTAGAGCGATTTTTTTGTGTTTATTACTCTAATTTTTTTGCAAAAGGTTTTGCTAATTGAGGTTAACTATTATAATTCTTAACTAAAAAATATCTTACGTCTGACAATTTTTTAATAAGTTTAAGGTAGTAGGTATTTATACTCTATTACAATCCCAACTCTTCGTTTTTTACTTTTTACATAATTTCTCAATTTTCATAAAGTTTGGAGACATTATATCTACATCATCATTAGACTTGTCATTAGGTATCGTAAATTATTAACTAATCCGCGAGATCCATTTTAATAATACTGACTGTAGCTTTCACCACAAAGTGGTCAAAAGTGTAACCCAATTTATGGTTGCAGCGGACAGTAGGCTGTCCTGGTCATGTTATGGTAGTGCTCCGGTTCGAACATCGTAATTTTTAATGCAGATCTCTGTCACTCATTATTTTTTTTATACTACAATTATAGTTTTAAGTTGCTACAATTTATAAGCGACGCATGTACATAACATATGTTGGGATATATCAATAGTGACAAATGGCGGATATGGACACTTACAACACAGGAGGGTTTAATACTTCTCGTATATTAAAGTACTGAGTTTACAATGTACTGTACTGATTACATGATTTTTAAGCTTGAGCAGTGTCTCAGAAATGGATTGCAAATCTATATAGAGATCTTGCTCCATCTATAAACATATAACCAATAAGACTACGTGTGTATTACTGGTTAGATTAACTTAGTCTAACATATATTATTATATGTTGGTGAAGTAATATAAATTATTCGTCGATTACAAAACGAAGTAATTTATTTTCTTCATCAGATTCTGCTCAGATTTAATTATTTTGTATAAATGAATCTTGAGAAAGCACTCAATTAAATTATCTTTATGTGTATACGTTTTAAAAAAAACGTATTGTAAATAATTATATATATATAAATCAAAATTTTAAATTATTTCAATTTAAGAAAAAAATAATATTACCGCTTTAATTTTTTTCGTCGAAGCCGTTTTTATTTGCTGTTATTAGATAATGGGCTGAAAATAAACTCTGGTTTGTATTGAAAAAATTTTTAATATTAATATTTATGCTAATAAGTATATTTAGTACATTATTATTGTGCTGCTATCTACTCTAATTGTCTCTAAGTGTTGGTCACAAAATGTCTTTGACAGTTGCGGGTCATAGCTGCGGGTCCTGATCTGTTTTGCTGGTTTATCTTAAGTGGCTAATATTATTTATTATTTTATATATTTCTATACATCATTTATATATGAAGTACTTTTGTATATAAAATGAATTATATTATATACATTTTTATATATACATATATGTATACAGATACATACATACATAATTCAGCGAAATTCTCTCTATTGCAAACTCTGTTTTTACTACCTTTACAAAATGTGTTCCACAGGTTAACCTAAATTTTTCATACCACACGGTAGTATGTTACTTAAATGCGTTACTAAAACCCTCACATCCATTGTGTACTAAGTGCCCACTTTAAACTAAAAATTGTACATATAAAAAACCTAAAAAATTCAATTCTAAGCGAGACGGTAAGTGATGAATTAATAAAACGCCTAAGGTTTCCACCAAGTGCAGTGGAAGTAATAAAACTGCAACACAAATGGACACTGTTCCGAAACTATTTTAAAATGTCAGTTCAGAAACGCCAACTCTACTGTTGACCAAAAAAAAAAAATAGAAAGGAATTGAATAATAAAAAAGTTTCGAAATTGTGGACATGGCATGTTTGCTTTGTGTTCGAAGGATTTCCCCTAAGTCCAGAAAACTTGAAACTGTAGAAAAAAGTTTATAGATTCAATGCATTGCATGTTTTGAATTTTGATTTAATTTCGTTTTATGATGGTTTTTTCTCTAAGAAAGATATTACAATCTAAACCCTCCATTGTAGAAGAAAATCTAAATTCCTCTCCGTCCTCTTGTTTTTAAATCGTACAATTGAAGAAATTGCTTTGTTTTTTCAACACAACCAGGTTTCAACCGAAGGAAAATATGCTTGAAAATTATATTTAAAATTCAAATAATAGAATTTTTTATGCAAAACAGAAGCAAAGATATTATCAAATATAGAATAATTTTAAATTCCACAAATATTTGCTAATAAAAGAACAGCAATGTAATGTTTTCTTTTTTATATTTGCTTTATTTCTAGTCCACTTACATCTTATTATGGCAAAGGGAAACGTGAATCCTGTGTATCGTCGGCAACTACAACTACAATAATTGGACATAATCCACCCATGACACTGCAACGTGGCTCTAATGGTGCATTGCACATGTTGCCAACTGCAACGACATTGACTGTAATGCCGCGTGCAATAAGTCCACTGATGAGGGTTTGTATAGAATTTTATTACATTTTTCATATTCCACAAGTATGTCAATTAGTAAGAATTACTTCATTTAGAAGTAGTTTATAATATAAAATGATTTCCAACACTTTAATTTATGACTCCTTAAAATAAAAATAACAAGACTTTTTCTGCTAACAAAATGAGATATATAGCGTAAATAGCAGTTATTGAATGGGAAAAAGAAACAATTACCAATTTTCGTACTATGTAATCAATTCTGATCTTTAAACCGAAATGGGTCAGAGTTTCACACTGTGAGTCTCATAAATATTTAGGGTTAATGCTGAGATCCTTCTTACTACTATTGACTTGGAGATATCTTGTTTTTGTTTAAAGATTCGTTTAATTATACAATCATCAGGTTTGAGATAATGTAACTAAATCATCTTCTGTGTAGTAATTGTGTAATTCTTCTGTGTGATTTTGTTTATTAACTAAAATTTAAAATTTTTTTTAAAACCAAAAGTAACAATTATTTCTTAGAAAACAGAAGCTGTTTACATTATTTTAATTTAAATTTAAAGTTTTTTATTACTCTTTTTGTAATTCCTCAGAAGATAACAGCCAATAATTCTAATAAGGATCTTTATACAAACAAGAGAATATAAAAATACGCAATAATTAAAGTTACTACAAAAAGAGTAATTCTTAAGTTTTAACAATTAAAGAATTAAAATAGTTGATTACAATTTCTATATGTGTATACAATTTCTATATGTGTATAGAAATTGGATCCATTCCAATACTACATTATGGAAGTTCCCCAACGTATTGAGAAAGCATAGTCAGTCATTAACCATTTTTCAGGTCATCGTGATAGCCTAGAGAGCTCTTTATGCCGCATAACTATCTGACAGCATGTCAACGAAGATGAAAAGAGCACACACATATTTCAACGGTATGTGTTTCTGGCTCAAAAATTGTTTGGTACTCCAATGGGTGTATTCCAATGGATGTGGAATTTATGTTTTGAATCGCGAACAATTTATTCCTATCGTTGTTGTTCCGTTTTCTAATTCTGACTCATCTCTGAACCAAATCTGTGAATTGGGTTTGACCATAATGGAATTTTTTTGCCAGAACTCACGGTCGTCAATAAGGAAAGTTTCTGAAGAGTACCAGTTGCGAGAATAATGTATCATCGGTCTGTAAAATAAAATAATAAAGAAAGGATAGAGACTTAAAAGAACCCCAACACTCCACTTAGCTTGTAAATATTAAATATATTATAAATATAAAGTGAAAATGTTATGAAATAAAAAAAAATTAGATAAAATATAATAAAGTAAATTATAATAAAAATGAATAAAATAAAAATTTTAAAACAAATAAAATAATATAAAAGAAAATAATATAAAATAAAATAAAATAAATATAATAAACTAAAAGAGAATAAAATGAAATATAATAATATATAATAAAACAAAATAAAATAAAATGTAATAAAATATAATAAAACAAAATAAAATAAAATGTGATAAAATAAAAACAGATATAATAACATAAAATGAAATAAAATAAAAAAAGAAAATAATAAAATGATACAAAAGAAACTAAGATTAAAAAAATTAAAAATAATATAAGACAAAATAAAATGAAATGGTAGAAAATAAAACAAAATATAATAAAAAAATATATAAAATAAAATAATACAAAAAATAATATGAAATAAAATAATATATAATAAAACAAAAGAAAAGAAAAGAAAAAACATGATATCTAAAAAGAAACAAAATAAAAAATAAAATACTAAAATTAAATTAAATACTCGAAAAAGTATGATCAGTTCAATTAATTAAAATAATATAAAAAGAATTTTTGTAGTTGTAGTTCACTACTTATTGAAACCTCTCTAATACAATTAAACGTAATAAGATATAATAAAATAACATAACAGAATAAAAAAAAGAATATGAAAGAACATAAAAGAAAATGAAATTAAATATAACGAAGTAAAATAAAAATAAAATAAAAATTAAATGAAATAAACAAAAAAAAATTAAATTAAAAAAAAATAAAATATATATAAATTAAATGAAATAAACAAAAAAAATTAAATTAAAAAAAAATAAAATATATATAAATAAAAAATTAAATCAAATAAAATGAGATAAAACTAAATAAATAAAATAAAATAATATAAATAATATACAAGTTCCATTAAAATATTCAATATTAGGATAAACTATAATTAAACATTTATAACATATACATATATGGTTAAAAAAAATAGGAAATGATTAGGAAGGATATAAAGAAAATAATTCAAGTCTCACAGAAAATGTGTGAATTTTTCTTAACTTCGTATAACAAAAATAAATACATCTAGAATGTACAGTAACTATTGCTAACATTTTAAATAGTTTTTATATAAATTTAAAAGGACAAATACATGTCTCTGGATGTACTACATCAATCTGTACTATGTCCCATTTTAACGTAAGCAATGCACACCAGTGTTGTTAGAAGTTTGATTTCTAACAACACTGGTGTGCATTGCTTACGTTAAAATGTTGTCAAAGATATTATTTTTCTTACTTATAATTAATTTCTTTATCTTTCATTAAAAATTAAAATTCAAATATTAAATTTCTTTCTTTTTTGAACAGGGCGGACTGGAAGAAAATTCGGTGTAAACATTGCAAATGCATCTGAACGTCTTTCAATAGAAAATATAAATTTAGAAATTTTAGAACCCAAAAAACTTGACAAAGAAATTCTATTTATCTATAAATATTTAGTATAAATAAATGTTTATATATATATGTGTATATGCATATATATGCAAACATTGAACAGAAAGGAGCTTTAATTCTCATTTAGTCAAGAAGGACTTGTTAAGCAGAACAAAAGAAGAAAAATTCGATACTTCAAAACAAAGAAGGACTGCTGAATTTATTTATAAAGTTTTAATTTATTTTATATTAAGTTGTAAATTTAATAAGTTTATAATAACTCTTTTAGATACAAAATTTAATTTAAGTGACAATTTATCGTATTGTATAAAAAATAAAGTTCTATGTATTTTATGTGCAAAATATAGTTCAAATTTAAAAGAAAATATTATTAAAAAACATAAAAGGTGTTAAAGTCATTAATATATCATAGGTCATACACAGATAATAAATGAATTAATTTAAAAATTAGTAAACTAATATAAATTTAATATTTTAAGTGTAAAGATATCTATCTATGAATGTACTATATTAATGTAAAGTAAATGTTTTAAATTTTAAACTTTATGTATGTAATTCACCAAAATATAAAATATAAAAAAAAATTAATTAAATTTTAAAATAAATGTGCTAAATAAAATAAAAAATAAGTTTTATTATTTATTGTTTTATTTAAAGTTCACAACTTAACCAAAAAAACCACAAATCTATATTATGCCAAATCAATTATAAGATACCTTTAAAAATAATTTAAAAAACAAATTCAAATGCTATACTACATAAAGAATATAGTAGGGAATTACTATAAGATACTTTGATTTTGTAGGAATAAATGCTACTATCAACTATCTAAGTTGAAATATACGCGATCAATAGATGTATTAAAGAATAACCGTCTTACAGACTGTCATTAACGCACCCAAATCTCATCAAAATTAGTGATAACGTGTTTAGAAAGGCTTAGATCAACATAACCAAATATAGAGTCTATAGATTCCGCTGTATGTTAGAAACAAATACATTAAAAAGGTAGATGCAAGCAAAGGATGTGGCGGTATCATTGCTATTCGACTTCCTCTGTGAACTACAAAAAAGTTACATTATGAGCATGAACAATTCTATAGTTCAATTCTATTTAATTCAATTCCATATAATACATTTGATGCATTTACAATGATCTGACTAAGGGTCATGTTATATAGAGTGTCATAGGTTCGTCATGAGCAAAATTATTGTTTCAATGAAATTGAGACTGAAAGAAAAAACAATATGTCGATTCAAATTTGTTCTTAAGAACCGATGCTATCTGTGCCTCGTCACTCAGGCAAAACAGTTTTATTCAGTAATAAATGTTAACATTAATGTCGCTTGAAAGCAAATCATGTATTTTTGTCTAAGCCCAAAAGAGACAATCTAAACGAGCCCATGACACTTTACATAACATGGCCGTAAGTAATCACCTTTATCTTGATAACGTAACAAATATCCAGTAGACATACTGTCACATATCAAATTCATAAGACATGAAATTCTGAAAGATTCTATCCCTCAATTTATTAAAAATATAAGAATAAGTAGTAAAAATATATCGACGACATATATCGACATTTTTAATAGGAAACATTCCATATTAGAATAAGATAAGTCCATAGAATAACTAATAAAACAAATGCTTTTTGACAAAATACTCTTTCTCTCTTTCAAGAGAGACACAATAATACCAACGCTTTTTGCTGGAAGCTACCGTAACATTTCGATACGTCTCTTGTAGAATGATTCATCAATGGCTTTTAAATATGCCTTGGTTTCGGCGATAACTTTCATCGTAGCCAAACGTGTGACATGTGACACGTTACATTGTTGTCGTAAAAGATGACAGGTTCTTCTTTATATGGAACCGTTGTTTCGCGATATCCTCTTTCGAACGTACCAGTTAGGGTTTGTAGAGATCGCTTTTGATCGGTTGGCCTCTCTCAAAGTAGTTGATGAAACTCCAAACACGACTCAAAATTCGAACGTCATAATCTGTCCATTACGTTTTTGACCACTTTGGGCGAGGTTCGCTACAGCTTACTCGACTGACTGCTGATTAGACTATGGAGTGAAGTAGTGGATCCAACTTTCCTTCTTAATGCAATTAATTATTCATCGCTTATCTATGTAATATATTAAGCTAGGTAAATAGCAATAAATAATTTGAGGTACTTTTTTAAAAAAGCTTATATTTACGTTTGTTTGTTTTCTATATATGAAATAATGTCTTATAGATGTGGTCCTTATATCGAAATAGGTTCCCGTTTCTATTAATCAACACATCACTTTTTTTCCACATCAATATCCTTGCCATTTTAATGTTAGACCAAACGAAGCTATTTTACTCAAACAACACCTCCTATCCCAACCATTATTAAAGCTAAAATATTCATTTTAATTATTTACTATTTTAAACAGTATTAAAATGTTAAAAGCTCAAACATCCTTAACGCCGTAAAATATTAAAATTTTAAACCAAGACAATACCATAAAAATTCTGACTAAAATTCCTTGTAAAAAATTCGTACAAAATTTTTCACTTTGTTAACTTTAAATAATAAAAAATTGCAAAAAAATGAGCATATAAAAATGCAAGTAATGTGAATATTTTTTATATAAAAGTAAAATAGCTGAGTACCGCTACACCGTGGCAGCCATGTGCAAATATGCAAACTAACAAAATGGCTGACACAAAATGACAAATATTATTTAAACAAAAGGTTTTTTTGAACTCTAAAGCTGTTGTGAAATAAACCGTGCAAAAAATGGAAGGTTGTTGAAACTTTTTATTTAGATTTTATTTTGCGGTCTGATCATATTTGTGCTACAAATTCATTAAGATATAATTGCACTCCTGCACAAACACAACTCAATTAGTCTGAAGGACTGCAAACTTTACCAGGCACTTGCCTGATATGAAGTATGCAGTTCAGAGCCAGTTTTTTCCAATTCGCATTCATTGTTGTCCTACACTTAGACCATTTTTATATTGAGTGCAAATTTAAACTGGAAATGCACTTAAACTTTTTTAACTTAATGGTTAGTTATTTATGTGTACTCCTCAATATTTGTTTTGTGAAACTTTATTTTTTATTTAAAACAATTATTTGATCAAAATAGAATAAATAGTTTTTACGCCGAATAGTTTAAATATAAAGTTCCATTTAGTGATATAACCGAGACTTTATCATAATGATTATATCTCCCATTAGATAGTTAAGCAATGTTTTCCAGGGGAAGATAAACAAAAAATGTTATTTAAGGGATAATAAATAAGATATGTAATGTTATCGAAAGGGAAGGAACCAAGAATTGTTATTTAAGAGAAGATAAAGATGTGTTATCTAAAGTGAAAATACCAAGAATTGTTATTTAAGAGAAGATAGAGATGTGTTATCTAAAGAAAAATAACCAAGAACTGTTATCTAAAAGAGGTGATGTGGGAAATAGAAAATTTATTTGGATTATAAAATAAATATAAAACCTCACATATTTAACAAAGAAGCATTTTCTAAGTGGATATGCTGTTAGAAATAGAAAATGTAACTAAAGTAAAATAAATATAAAGCCCCGTATTTCTTACAAAGAACCGTTATCTAAGTGGATATAGGTACTGTTAGAAATAGAAAATGTATGCAAAGTAAAATAAATATAAAATCTCAAATCTTTTACAACATAAAATATTGAATAAAAGTCTTGTTTTCTTTTTTATTAGCGATTCAATTTATAATTTTGGGTCTCTTTTTAACACTCCTTCAATCGTCGCAATTACTCGCAGCTACTTTGTTTCCTAAATACTAACAACAACAAGTCTCTAATAATTTTTAACACCTTGGTTGAACAGCAGAATCGGAGATGTCTTATTGCTCTTGCTTCTAATCAGATTTTCAAAGCATAATGTACGTATCACTGATTGGAACATCTGCCGCAACATATCATTAACCTATAAAAATATTTTCGACTTTATTCAAGCTCCAACTCCACATCATGTACAAACACAATAATCACTACATTTGTTCTTATTCGGTACTCTATTTTTTTTATCCTCACGTGACCAATCTTGCAATATTGCAATTTAAATACTCTGAATTGATATATAAAATAAGAATTAAATTTTTCAAAAAAATTATATTAATTCAGGTACATCGTCTTTATGGCGATGATTCGTGTTAGATGTATAATGCGCCGTTTAGTTAATCTGATTTAGTTCGTTAATGAGTTGGAAAAGAAGAAGTTCTTTCCTTACTCTTGATTACTGATAATGAGTATTCGAGACATCGTTGTATGATCATCCAAATTTCAATAAATTATTTCAAAAATTTTTGTTGTTGTCTTTTCATTTCTATTCGAACCCTTCTAACTTTGAAATAGTTCTTTTCGTCATAAGATGCGTCACTTTCGGCATAAAAAATTAGCATTAAATTCAATACGATTATCAATAGAACGTCTTGCAACTGACTAATCAATCTCTATCTTTATAATATCGCTAGGGGATATCAAAAGGAGATCGACAAAAATTTTTCATAATTAAGATGGATCTTATTACGATTTACAAATGTCTGCATATAGTTGATTCTTCTTTGACTTTAAAATTAAGCAAATTAATTTGTATTATTTATTAACAGATTATTATTATTGATATTTATTAACATAATTTTTAAAATTATTAGTACTAAATTTAAAATGAATTTTTTATCTTCAGTTTATTTATCTTAAGTTTGCTTAAGTTTATTATTAATTATTTGTGTTTTAGTTAAAATTATTACCAACCTGGCAGAGCTGTCATCCTGCACAATTAAGGACTTCGTGAAGTATATAGATTGTTTCAGGTTGATTTACGTTCACTTGAATGGTGGAGTAGTGCTTTTCGGCGTTGTTCGTAAGCTAACCTCTACCATAGTTTACGTATGAACAATGCTATTGATATTACAACAGGTCATTATTTCAACTAAAGTGAGGTTTGGGCACATTTGGGCCATTCCAACATAAACTAATCTAGATAGGATTCACGTAGGTTTGGTTAGGTTATACCGGCAATCCTAGGGGGATCCACTTAGGCCTATAGGCCTATTGTGCTACTATATTATTAAAAACCCAAGGGTGAAAAAGAGAGGTCATTCGCAGATAAGAGGCGCTTTCATCATTCTCACCACAACTGCGGCAGACATGGTTAAAAAGAGATTTAGTCTCCTAGCATGGTTAGCTAGAATACAATAGCCTGTTAGTAAACTTACTGCAAGACTGATATCTCTACGGGGCATCTCTGTGAGAGAGTTCGGTTCGGTTTCCTTCTATTTGTGTGTGGCCAAATTGCATACAGATGCCTACATAGGATTCATGTAAATTATTAAAACTCTATATCACCTTCCATATATATATGAAGACATAACAATTAAAAATTATTCAGTTTATCAAAATGTTCCACAGTCAAATGTGTCCTTCGAGACAGTTTCAAAGAAAAGAACTTTTATTGTAATTATTTTTGTGATAAGATTTGATTGCACATTAAAACTGTTTTGTTCTTTTAATTGCACTTGAAGTTCTTTTTACTGTAATTTGATTATTTGAAGCACTTGCAACAGCCAACAAAAGCATAATCGCTATATAATGTTGCATTAGAAAAACGTTAAGCAAATTGCATAATTATGATAGCTTACCTTCAAAAAGTTTCTAGTTGCATATACAAGATGTCTAAGGGAGATACATTATGTTAATAAACGAAATGCATGTCGCTTTTTGAGAAAGTGCCATTTACATGAGAGCACTTTTTATAACAAACTATTAAATTTATATGCAACATATTATATACTGCTTTGTATTCTAGAAATAGGAAAAATGCATCTTTAATAATTCAAACAAATTTAATATGTACTTATACGTATAGAAAGAATAAACAGCATTGATGCGATGAAGCTGAACTACTTTAAATGCAAATCGCAGCTGTGGTGACAGTGTCACTTTAAATGCACATTCGAGTATATCCCGGTTGTGCCAAGGATAATGAATAATTTATTACATGTTGCACAAATAGCATATATAAACTCTTAACTTTATTATACAACTTTACAAGTAAAAAATATAAATTTTAAATAATTTTTAAATTTAATTTTAAGTTTTTTACATTATTAGTTTAAAAATAAAAAAAAAATGTAAGAAATATGCTTAAGTTTCATTTGAATTGTCAACAGTTTCAATGTTATTTTCATTATTTTTACCCTCGAA